CACTGCATGTTAACATCAAGGATTCATTTTGATGATGCAAGTTTTGATGATAATGCAATGGAACTGGTATGGTTACTAATAATTGAACAACCACACTGCACCTATATTTTAATTTTTGTGCACAAATAATTCACTGAGAAAATTAATATTCTTTTTTAGACTACCCTACAAAAACAAATTAAAAGTGTGAAAGAATTCAGGGGTAAATAGATTACATGCAGGTGTCAGCATTAACCATGCAATTATTTGCACATTCAAGACATCTCAAATTTTAGGAAATGCACAAGTACTAACAAAACAGAATACTGGGTATTTCAATGTCGGTTTAAAAGTTCAATTTAAACATGCAGTTGCATGTGTATGACATTAATATCCCAGAGCATGTTAAGGTGTAAATGGAGAAAGTTTCTGCCTCATCTCTCTCTCTCTCTCTCTCTCTCTCTCTCCTTTACATTTTGTCTTCTTATCTGGTTTCTAGGTATTTTGTAACAAAAACATTGTTAATTGGCACAAGATACCTGTTGCATGAAACTAAGAGATGCACTCAATGGTATCTTTCTTTCAGTAAAATTAATGTACCACTTCCAATAATTATTTTCTATTAACTTTCATTGATGCCTTTGATTATCTGATGTGTAGCATTGTTGTGGAATATTTATAATTCCCTTGATGTGGCACTTCAGATATTTTTATGGCATCTTCTGTTTGAAAACTAATATATCTAACTTTAACCTTTGGGCTATGTGTCCACTAATGTTGCAGGCCCTGTACAACAATGTAGTAGAAAGAGCAAAACCAATTGAGGCTGTGAATGTTGATGGTGGAAGATTTATTCGTGAAGCTAAGGTAAGGTTCATGTTCTTGCTTTGGGGGTTCTATGCTCCCTATCTGTGTGTTTGTGTGTGTCTAAAATTTTGCCAGCGCATCTCTGAGGACTTCGTGGTCAGAGCTACAGTTCCAGGCAACATTAATATCCTATTATCAGGAGGCCTCTCCCTAATCAATTTCAGAATTTCTAGCGCCGTAGTCATTTGAGTTGATTGTGGAGCTTGCACTGCACCAAAAACATCAAATATCCCTGCACCAAATTGATGTTGGCGCACTCTCAACATTTCATGCTTGCCAGTAACTTTCAATTTGCTTCATTTGTGGTGCAAGGCTAGCTAACTGATCGAGAAATCCTAATTAAATCATCCCAATCAGTTTAACCAACAGTTTTATTGCTTTTGCTTAGTTTAAAAATGATGTAAAATTTCTAACAAGCACTTGCCAAAGTGAGATTATTTTTTTCATTATTTTGCTGTGTTTAGTATGTGCCTGCCTTTGCTTAGAAATTTTTTGTAATGTCTGGTATTTTATCAATAATTTTATATATTTAACTTTGAAGGATTGATCTCAAATTTTTAATTTTGTCCTACGTATTTGTAAATCCATTAGGATTTTGTTATCACGATTCTGCTCCTTTCGTCTAAGATAAAACAGTTCTAAAATTTTTAAGTGCTTTACTGACAGTTAAATCCAATTAAAATCAATTATTTTGAAACAAGTTTAGAAACTATACATTGTAAGCTCAAGCTCTCACTTGAATCACTTTAGTCATAGGCACATGAGGGGGAACTCAGCCCGGCAACTCAAACCATGCGTAACATTGGCGGGGGAGCAGTTAACTTAACGATGACACCGGTGCACAGACTAACCGCGGCTAACCTAACCTAACCTCACCTAACCGACAGATATACGACCTGCGGCTCCAGCGGTACATTGACTGGCTGGTGGACGAGGTGCACCCTAGTCTAGACGTGGAGGTGGTGGCGACGCGCGGCAAGGCCGCCAAGCGCGCCAGGACGAGCGTGGACAACGGCAAGGGCGCCAACGGCGGCCAGGGTGCCAACGGCGGCCAGGGCAACCAGGCCGACGACAACCAGGGTGCCGAGACGGTGGCCCGCCAGCTGGACGTGCTCAACAACCGGTACCAGGCACTGCTGGGCATCCTGCTGGACAGGCTGCGCCAGCTCGCCGCCATGATCCAGGACCCCCAGCTGCAGGTGAGCGTTCGGTCTTCCCTGAAAGAAGTGGGGCGGGGCGCGGAACTTAGCTTCGACTTGGCTGCGGCCGGGTGCACATGTTTGGCTCACGTCACCTCAGTGCGGCGCAGAGCGCGCAGAGGGTGGTAAAGGTGAGGGGAACAGAAATAGGTTCGGGCCCGCGTTTGTGCGGCGGGGCTTTGTTGCCCCGGGGTGCCGCTAATTGTTCTGTTTTGATTGGCCTTCCACGCCCAGGCGGCTCGGCAGTGCTTTCATCGCGCTGTCTCCCTCGCACTCATCGGGTGTGAGGGAGAAAGAGCGACGTGAGGGGCGAGGTAGGCAACCGGCGTGGCGAGCATGGCGTGCCGCGCGCCGCGCAGGCCCAGATTGGCTGGGCAGTGATCTAATCGTCGTGGACTTGGCCTTCCGCGTGTTCGTCCGGTTTTAGTGTCTCGCTAGGCGCGGCGGCTGCGGCTGGCGTGTCCAGTGTGGGCGTGGGCCGGTGGGAGGGACGCCAGACGCGCCAGGCCTCGGGCGGCCCGGCCCGGCCCGGCCCTACCCAAGCCTAGCTCCAGCGAGTGGTCCGGCCCGGGCCGGCGTGGGCGCCCACCAGCAGTAAGGCATCAAGCGGCTCTAGGCTGACCGGGCTTGACCGTCCCAGGTGTCCTTGGCGGTTCGGACGTCACTCTGTCTCTCTCGCACTCCTATGCAACGCCCCGTGCCGCCCCGTGCGTGCGAGAGAGACAGTGCGACGCAGGCCCGGCCAATTACGGCGCGCTGATGACACGGTCTTCCCTTCCGATCGGAACGACCGAGGCCTTCTCGTTTTTGCCACGTTCTCGTTCTCGCTCGCGTTCGAGTTCGAGTTTTAATTCGCGCCCGGGGGCCGGTCCGCTCCGCCACTTGGAGCGATGAATTGGTCGCTCTGTTTCGGCCACGCTGTCTCTCTCGCACCCTCGGGCCTTGCGAGCGCGAGAGAGACAGGGTGGCCCTGTTCGGAAGCAGTCCCCTGCGTCCTGGAGGTCCGCGACGTCCGCGACCGTCCGCCACACTGACTCGGTGTCACCGCGACGCTGCGACGTCGCGACGCCGCGGCCCCGTGGGAACTCTAATAGAAGATAATGGACGTGACGTCATCGTGGTGCTGGTCCGCGCAGGCTGGCCGGTTGGCCGGTCGGGGTCATAACCAATATAGAAGTGTTGGGAAGGGACAGGACAGGACAAAGGGGCGGGGCGAAAATAAAAATAAAAATAAAAATAAACGGCAAAGGAAAGAGAAGATATAGATTGGCAAGCGGCCGCGAGAGGCGGGGGAGGGGGCCCGGCCCGCGGACCGGGGGGACAGTCGACACATGTGTCTGTCTGTCTGTCTGTCTCGCTCTCACGGCCGGCCTAGGCGACCGCGAGGCGCGAGGCGCGGATGTTTCAGGACCTACCTCGCCTCGCCTCACCTCAGTCAGTACGGCACGAGCCTCGACCAGCTGCGGCGCGGTGTGGCGGTGCGCGCGCGCGGACGTAGAACGTGGACTCGCGCGTCGTGATGCTCGCGACGACGAGGTGGCCGTCGAGGGTGGCCGTCCACGCCGGGGTCGCCCTGGCGCCCTGGACCGCGGCCAAATAGCGGTCAATAGCCGTGCAGTGCGTCGCGAGTGTACTATAGTTGTTGTCTAACTTGTGATTCTTGTTGTTGTTGGCGCAGCTGTCCATATCACAAATGGAGACTCGGCCGCTCAAGACATTCCGAACGGAGCTCAACATGATGGGGACGGAGGAGTCGACTTACACACAGTGAGTATCGGGTGCTGCGTGTTCGGCCTTGCCCTTTTTCCCGCGCGAACCGAATCCGAAGCGACCACCAACCGGCGGACGACGCGGCGGCGAGGCCCAGGGCCCAGCTGGCAGCCGGCCTGCCTGGCAGTGCCGGTACGGGGCCGGGCCGAGCTGAGAGGCATCTGCGGGGCCACCGTGTGCGAGGCCCCGGCCCCGGCCATCCCGCGGCGAGGTCGGTGTCGGGGCCTCAAAAAAGTAGCCGCGGGGAGAGCCGCTCTTTATCGACCGTTTTTGGTCGGGTTCGGCGAGGCTCCGACTTTAGTGCCGTCCTATCTCGCAAATGGCGGCCCGGGGTCGCCGGCGGCCATCGCAGTGTAAAGACTGAATTGAATTTTCAGTCTGTTTTGTTCTGCGCTGACATAAGCAACGCAACAGCCGCCTTCTCAATTTGTCTCTCTCAAGTGCCGCCGTCGTGCCCGGCAAGTGCTAGATTCTCGTAATGTAAGACCTGTCCCGGTGGCAACTGACGTGAAGACTTTGCTCGATGTCGCGTCTGGTGTTAGCACGGTTCCTCAAAGAAGTGTTTGCTCTCTGCCCGCCAGGTACGCGAGTCGGGACGTGACCGACTCGTCACAGATCTTCGACTCCGGCGGGCGCGTCAAGTCGGTGGCCTCGGTCACGGTGACGACGTCCAGCCGCGAGGGCTCGCCGCTCAAGCGGGCCGCCAACGGCGTGGAGGCGCCGGCCGCCGCGCCGCTCAACGGCCGCGCCAACGGCGCCAACGCCAACGGCGGCATGCAGCTGGGCACCAGCATGCAGTTCACGGAGATCCGGTCGCTGAAGCGCGTGCACCGCGTGGAGGAAGGCATCGGCACGGACGCGCACGGCGACGCGCTGGCCGCGCCCGGCATCGTGAACCCCGCCACCGGCGAGCTGCTCAACGTGCACGACGCCATCAGCCTGCGCGTCCTGGACGTGCGGACGGGCCGCATCGCCGCGCAGCCCGACGGCGCGTCCGTGGACATCGACGAGGCGGTGCGCCGCCGCCTGGTGGACCCCGCGCTGGCCGAGCGCCTGCTGGGCGCGTGCGGCATCCTGGACGTGGCCACCGGCCGCGAGCTGACGCTGCTGGAGGCCATCCAGCGCCAGCTGTGGGACGCGGAGCGGGGCACGGTGGTGACCCCGGAGGAACGGGAGAAGGTAAGCACAGGTGTTGGACTCGCGGAGGCGGTGCGGAGTGGGCAGCTGGACGCGGAGACGGGGCTCTTCAAGGACGGTGACGACATGCTGCCGCTGAGGGACGCGTTCGCGAAGGGGCTGGTGCGTCGCGAGGCCCCGCCGCGGCGGACGCTGGTGCGGCAGCGCGCGCTGTCCGACGCACTGGCGCAGGGACTGGTGGACTCGAGGACAGGCAGTGTGGTGGACCGCCGCTCCGGCGAGAAGGTGCCCCTGGAAGAGGCGCTGCGGCGCGGGCTGGTGCGCGGTGACCTCCGGGAAGTGGTGGACGCCGCGAGCGACGACAAGATGACCGTGGAGGAGGCCGTGGCGCGCGGCGTGCTGCGGGACGGCAAGTACATGCACGCGGTGTCCGGGGAGAAGCTGCCGCTGCGTGAAGCCGGCCGCCGAGGCCTGCTCGCCAAGCCCATGACCCTCAAGGACGCCAAGGACCTGGCGGCGCTGGACGACGCGGGTCGGATACTCAGCCCCACGCACAGGGACAAGCTGTCCATCCTGGCGAGCTGCGCGCGCGGCGTCCTGGACGCGGACTCGCTGCGCAGCGTCGCCAGCTCGGCCAGCTCGGACAACGAGGAGCTGCTGACGCTGGCGGAGGCCTTGGCGGATGGCGTCATCCTGCCCGAGGGCAAGTATCGCGACGCGGTGTCCGGCGAGGAAATGACCATCGGCGAGGCCGTGGACAACGGGCTCATCTCGTCCGTGGCGGTGCGCTCCGTGTTCGACATCGAGGCGTTCCAGGACGCGACGTCGGACGCCGCGGAGCCGGCCTTCATCTCGCTGAACACGGCACTGGACAAGCAGCTGGTGACGCCCGACGAGGCCCTGGTGGTGGACGCCAAGGCCGGCAAGTGCGTGCCCATCGCCGAGGCCGTGCAGCAGGGCCTGGTGCGGCCCGCCGTGCTGGCCGAGCTCAACAAGGACATTGGCATTCCGGCCGAGGCCGGCGACGCGCAGGGCGGTGCGCTGAGCGTGCTGCAGGCCGTGGTGGCCGAGAGGCTGGACCCCAAGGCCGGCCAGGTGCTGGACCCCAAGACCAAGAAGGCCGTGTTCTCGGACGAGGCCGTGCGCCGCGAACTCATCACGCCGCAGGGCGCAGCGCTGCTGGACAGCCTGCTCAACATCGACGTGACGACGCAGACGGTGACGAAGCACGTCAAGCACTTCGTAACGGTCGTGGCGACCGGGCCGGCCAACACCGCGGAGGCCGTGCCTGCCGCCGAGGCCGAGGGCGCGACGTATGAGGTGCCGACGGACGGCTGGTACCTGGCCGAGGCCATCGACAAGAAGCTGTTCGACCCGGTGACGGGGCTCTTCATCGTCCCCGGCACGGACCGCCTCGTGTCCCTCGAGGAGTGCGTCAAGCTGGAGATCATCAACCCGGTGTCGGCGCAGGTGATGGACCCCAAGGACAACAAGGGCCAGCGTCGGCTGCCGCTGCTGCGCGCGCTGGGCAAGGGCCTGCTGGACGCCACGGGGCACTACCCGGACGCGGAGGGCTCCAAGAGGATCACCATGAAGGAGGCCATCGCGAGGCACGCCGTCATCCTGGAGCAGCGCACGGCCTCGGACTCGCCCAACACCAAGGTCATCAAGGTGACGAAGGTCTCCGGCAAGCCCGACGTGGTGGAGGTGGAGGTGTCGCAGCCCGTCGAGGCGGGCGGCTCGCCCACGTTCGTGGAGGTCAAGAGCAGCGACGCGCTGGGGCAGGGCGCGGAGGGGCCGGGGCCGCTGCAGGTGCAGCCAGGTGTCATCTTCGACCCGACCTCCGCCCTGGTCATCTGCACGGACGGCGACGAGGCGCCGGGCAGGGCCGTGGGGCTGCTGCAGGCCGTCAAGGAGAAGAAGCTGGAGCCCAGGATGGTCAAGGTCAAGGACCCGTACTCGGGCAAGGAGATGAACATCAACGAGGCGATGCGCAAGGGCATCATCGACAAGGCCACGGGCGACTACAAGGACCGCGCGGGCCGCCGCATCCCGCTGGCCGAGGCGGCCAAGTTCGGCATGGTGGCCGTGCTGGGTGCACCGCTCGCCCTCATGAAGAAGCTGATCGTGGACCCGCGCACGGGCGAGCAGGTGTCCGTGGAGCGCGCGCTGGCGGAGGGCCTGGTGGACGAGGCCAAGCTCCGCGACCTGGAGCGCGCGCTGGAAACGGCGGACGCGGGTGACGGCGAGGTGCTGTCGACGCGGGTGGAGACGACGACCGTAGTGAAGGTGCTGGACCCCGCGACGGGGCAGGAGCTGCCGCCGGACGTGGCCGTGCAGATGGGCGTCATCGACAAGCGCGAGCTGGCCAGACTCACCGCCGCCGCAGGCTCTCTCTCCGCGCCGGGAACACCCACGCGGTCCAGGACGCCGACGACGCCGCTGCCGCCCAGCGACGACGAGGGCCTCTCCGAGGCGGAAAGGACGCGAGCCAGGGTGACGACGGAGCCCAAGTATCAAGTGTCACTGGGCCGCGCGCGCACCCTGAGCCCCGACATGATGGACGCCGCCAAGCCCGTGGTGCTGCAGAAGATGCGCAAGCGCGTGGTGAAGCCTCGCGACGCGCTGGACTGCGGCATGATCGACCAGGACACGGCGCGCATCCTGGAGGACCCCAACACCTTCCGCGGCCAGCAGGGCGAGCCCGTCAACCTGGCCGAGGCCATCGCGCTGAAGCGCGTGGACGGCAACCGCGGCGCCATCCGCGACCCGCAGCGCGGTGACCTGCTGACCATCAAGGAGGCCATCGAGCGCGGCATCCTGGACTCGACCACGCCGTCCGGCAACCTGCTGGTCCCCGTGGCCAGGAGCCTGTCCGTGCCCGGGCTGGTGGAGCAAGGCCTGCTCGAGCCCGAGGCCGGCCGCGTGGTGCACCCCGAGACCGGCGCGCTCTTGACGCTGTCCGAAGCCATGACCTGCGAGATCGTGGACCCGCTGTCGCAGCTCGCCGACCCGCTGACGGGCAAGAGGGTGACGCTGAGGGAGGCCCTGGACAGCGGCTCCATCGACGACGAGACCGCCACCGTGGCGACGCGCAAGGGCAGCGTGGACCTGCTGACGGCCGCCAGGGACCTGCAGGTGTTCGAGAAGGCCAAGCCCGTGCTGGGGCTCGGCGAGACGCTGCCGCCCACCGGCATGACGTTCCCCGTGGCCGTGACGCGCGGGCTGGTGGACGCGGCCGCCAAGGAGGTGATCCACCCCATCACCGGCGTGCGCACGCCCGTGCAGGTCGCCATCCACGACGACTTCATCATGGCGCTGCCCTACCCGGTGTCCCCCGACAGCGTGGAGGTGACACAGGCGCTGGACTGCAACCTCATCGACACGGACAAGGCAACCTTCACCAACCCCAGGACCGGCGACGTGCTGCCGGTGTCCGAGGCCGTGGAGACCGGGCTTCTCGTCATCAAGCCCGTGCCCAGCCTGCTGTCGTTCGAGGCCGGAGGCGTGGTCACGGCCGTCACCGAGACCGTCACGTCGTACCAGACCATCACGACGAGGACCATCGACCTCAAGCCGGGCTTCGTGCTCATCAGCGCGGACGAGGTGAAGAACGCCCAGACCGGCGAGGTGATGTCGCTGGACCAGGCGCGGCTGCGCGGCATCGCGCGGGACGAGTCGGAGGAGCGCGAGGAGTACACGACGGTGGACAGCAAGACGTCCTTCGAGGAGGCCGTGGCGCAGGGCCTGGTGGACCTGCACGCCGGCACCTTCACCCACCCCGAGTCCGGCGAAGTGATGGCCATCCGCGACGCCATCTCCTCCGGCCTGCTGGACACGTCGGCGGAGCCCGAACCGGAACCAGAAGCGGGAGCCACACGCCGCGTCAGCGTCGCCGAAATGCAGTTCGACGAGAAGGAGAAGAAGTTCAGGGACCCGACTTCCCCCGACAAAGCGTTCGACACGCTGCGGGAGGCCATGGAGGCCGGCGTGGTGGACCCCGAGGCTGTGGTGTACGACGTGGCGAGCGGCAGGCCCGTCACCACCAGGGAAGCGGTGGACAGCGGCATGATCGACGCCGCCGGTCGCGTCACCGACCCGTCGACGGGCACCTCGATGTCCGTCAAGGACGCCGCCAAGCTCGGCCTGCTCGCCGTGGTCGGCGCACCAGTGCTGGCCGGCATGGCCGTCGCCGACAAGCTCAAGAGCATGTACGACAAAAAGAAGGGTGGCGAGCCAGCGGTGACACCGCCAGCAAGGAAGTCCAAGTCCAAGTCGCCGTCACCGTCGCCTGCCGTGGCCGTGGCGGCGGCGGCAGCCCAGTCGGAACCCCAACCCCGACAAGTGGCACGGCAACTTTTCCCCGAAGATAAAGACGAAGAAACCGATTCCACGGACAGCAAGACGGCCGCCTTGGCCAAGCCCGTGGTCGTGGAGGCGCTGCTCAAGTCAGAGTCCGCAACGCCGGTCACCAAATCTAGTCATGAATCTAGTCCTAGCGTAGCTGAGATCACCATCCAGAGCACGGCCAAGCCCGTCAAGGGCGAGCCCAGCTCACCAACCACCAAGCAGCCCCTGGACGCGCAGGCGCTGGTCGCCGCGGGCGCGCTGGACGCGGAGAAGGGGCAGTTCTTGAACCCGCAGTCCGGCGACGTTGTGCCGTTCCACGAGTTCGCGCTGCGCCTCGGCATCCTCGACCCCGAGAGAGTGGTGGTGCGCGACCTGGCCGGCCGCGAAGACACCTTCGTGCCGCTGCGGCAGGCACTGCAGATCCCGCTGCTGGACAAGAACACGGGGCAGATGGTTGACCCCAGCACCGGCAAGCGAGTCCCCTTCCTGGAGGCCGTCAAGTTGGGCTGGATCGTGGAGCGGCCGCCGGAGAAGACAGGTCGGGAGCTGGTGCTGAGCCTGGAGGACGCCGTCGAACAGAGGCTGTTCAGCCCCGACACCGCCGAAGTACTGAACCCCGCCACCGGCGAGCTGATGCCCCTCGCCGCCGCGCTCAGCCAGGGCGTGCTGAGCAGCGAGGCCATCATGGTGCGCAGCCCTGACGGCGATGACGTCATCACGCTGTCCGAGGCCGTGGAGTCAGGCATGGTGGACCTGGATAAGGGCACGGTGGTGGACCCGCGCACGGGCCAGGCCGTGGACATGAAGGCGGCGTTGGCCAGCGGGCTGCTCATGGCGTCGCCGCGCAAGGCGCTGTCGCTGGAGGCCGTCATCAACAAGGGCCTGTACGACGCGGACTCGGGGTTGATCACGAACCCCGCGACGGAGCAGGCGGTGCCCGTGGACGAGGCGGTGCGGCAGGGCGTGGTGGACGCGTTCCTCACCGAGTGCAAGGACAGCCGGTCGGGCGCCTTCGTGTCGCTGGACGACGCGCTGCAGAGCAAGATCATCAACGCGCACTCCGGCCGGTTCCGCGACACCGAGTCCGGCCAGATCATGCCGCTGGACGAGGCCCTGGCGCAGGGGCTCATCTCCACCAACCACATCACGCTGCCGCTCGTCGACACCATCGTGGAGGGCTTCTACTCGCCGCGCTCGGGCCGCGTGCTCAACCCGGGCACCGGCCTGGAGCAGACCCTGGCGCAGGCCATGGACTGCGGCTTCGTGGACGCCGCCTCTGCGCGCGTTCGCGACGACCACACGGAGAGGATAGTGACGGTGGCCGAGGCCGTGCAGTCAGGCCTGTTGGACGCGGACAAGGGCCTGGTCACCTACCCCGCGCCGATGGCGCTAGACGACGCCCTGGAGAGAGGCTACATCCTGGCGACGGGCAAGCCCTGCTCGCTGCAGGCGGCCCTGGCGCAGGGCTGCTACGAGCCCAAGACGGGCCTCATGCTGCTCAACGACGACCGCGTCACGCTGGAGGAGGCCGTCAAGCAGGGCGAGATCAACCGCAACGCGCTGACCGTCAAAGACCCGCGGTCCGGAGACATCCTCACGCTGGCCGAGGCCGTCAAGGTGGGCGTCATCAACCCCAAGCACGGCACGGCCACGGACCCCACCAGCGGCGCTGAGATGCACTTCTACGACGCGCTGGAGAGGGGCCTGATCGTGCCCGCCAAGCGCAAGATCTCGCTGTCCGAGGCCGTGTTCAAGGGCTTCTACGACCCCAAGTCGGGCAAGTTCACCAGCCCGGAGACGAAGGAGCGGCTGCCCACGGACCGCGCCATCAAGCGCGGCATGATTGACCCGGAGAGCACCCTGGTGCGCACCGAGGACGGCGTCGTGCCCTTCCTCCACGCCATCGAGACCGGCCTGGTGGACGCGAGGGCCGGCACTCTGGTGGGAGGCCCCGGGGTCGGCACCATGGACTTCCACGAGGCCTTCGAGAAGGGCCTGCTTGTGGAGGTCCGGCGGCCCATGCCGCTCAGCGAGGCCCTCGCCAAGGGCGTGTTCGACGCGGACTCTGCGCGCTTCATGAACCCGTCGTCCGGCGAGGGGCTGACGCTCGCCGACGCCGTCGACCAGTACGTCGTCGAGTCCGACTCGGTGCACGTCAAGGACACGCGCTCCGGCTTCCTGAAGAAGCAGTCCTTGGCCGAGGCCATGCGCATCGGCCTTGTCGACGGCGAGACCAGCAAAGTCCGCGACTTCAGCCGCGGCGCGGACGCCGTCGTGGAGGTGGCGCTCCCCGAGGCCGTGGAGCAGGGCCTGATCGTGGACAGCAAGAGCGCCGTGTCCGTGCAGCGCGCCATCCACCAAGGGCTGTACCACGACGACACCGGCAAGCTGACGGACCCCAACACGGGGCGCAAGGTGACGCTGCACGAGGCCATCCGGAGGTACATCATCAACCCCGAGCTGCCGTGCTACTGGGACCGCAAGTCGGAGCGCCTGCTGTCGCTGGTGGAGACCTGCCGCGCCGGCATCATCGACCGGCGCGCCGGCCGCTTCAAGGAGCCCGGCTCCAACTGCGCCGTGCCGCTGTCCGAGGCCATGGAGCTGGGACTCATCGTGGACATCGAGACGGCGGGCTTCGGGCTGTTCGAGGCGCTGGCCATGGGGCTGTACGACCCGGCCACGGGGCTGCTGGCGCATCCCGCCACCGGGCGCCGCCTCACCCTGGCGGACTCCGTCAAGGAGGAACTCGTCAGCCCCTTGCTGTCCATCGTCAAGCACGCCGGCACCGGCCGCTACATGAAGCTGGACGAGGCCGTGAAGGCCGGCCTGGTGGACGACGAGGCGGGCGTGTACCGCCTGCCCGACTCGGCGCGGACGCTGTCGCTGGCCGAGGCCAAGCAGAAGGGGCTGATCGTGACGGCACGCAGGCCGCTGAGCGTGGAGGAGGCGGTGCGCTGCGGGCTGTACCGCGTCGACTCGGGTCGCTTCGTGGACCCCGAGAGCGGCGACGCGCTGGACATCGCGCAGGCCTTGGCGCGTGGGCTGCTGCAGCCGGACACGACGGCCGTGCGCGACCCCATCACGGGGCAGCTCAAGAGCCTCAACTCGGCGCTCGAGGACGGCACCATCGACGCGGCGCGTGGCCGCGTCACGGACCCCAAGACCCGCGAGCAGCTCAACGTGGAGGCTGCGCTGGACCGCGGGCTGCTCGTCACCACCGACAAGCCCCTCACGTTCAAGGAGGCGGTGCGCCGCGGCTCCATCGACTTCAAACGCGGCACGTTCAAGGACCCGCGCTCCATGCTGGAGTGCACGCTCGAGGAGGCCATCCGCCACGAGCTCATCGACCCCGAGTCCGCCATGGTCAAGGACCCCGCCACGGGCCGCTTCCACCCCCTCAAGAAGGCCATCGTGGACGGGCTCATCGACCTGAACAAGCGCGCCGCGCTCGACCCCAACACCGGCAAGGCCAAGTCCCTCTGCATCATGTTCGAGCAGGGCACGGTCGTCTTCCTGCGCGAGCCGCTCACTTTCGAGGCCGCCGTCGAGCAGGGCCACCTGGACACGGCCACGGCCAAGTTCACGGACCCGACCTCCAAGGAGCAGATGACGCTGCGCGAGGCCGTGACGCAGGGCCTCATCGACCCCGACTCGGCCCTCATCAAGGACACGCGGCGCAAGCACCTGCTCAAGCTGGCCGAGGCCTTCAGGAAGGGCCTCATGGAGGGCGAGAAGGGCAACGTCCTCGACTCGGAGTCGTCGCGCCTCAACACCCTGGCCGAGGCCATCGACACTGGTCTGCTGACCTCGCCCCGGCGTGGCTTCACCCTCATCGAAGCCGTGCAGTACGGTCTCTACGACCCGGCCTCTGGCGCCGTCGCCGACCCCTACCTGTCCCCCACGCACGCGCCGCTGACGCTGGCGGAGGCCGTGGAGGCAGGCCTCGTGGACCCGTCCTCCACGGCCGTCAAGGACCCCGAGACGGGCGCCGTGTGCAGCCTGCCCGAGGCCATGTCGTCCAAGCTGGTGGACTCTGCGGCCGGCCGGCTGCGCGTCCCCGAGGGCGAGCCCATGGACCTGGCCAAGGCCCTGCAGAGAGGCTACATCCTGCCCGCCGAGCAGAGGGTGAGAATGAGGAGAGGGAGCGGGGAGGAGTGCGGAGAGCAGTACTGGAATGCCCTGCTAAAAACTCGCAATGCCGTCTGTCATGTACTTGCCATGTGTCGGTTGTTGTCATTCGAGCTTGCTGCCGTGGCGGCCGAGCGCCAAAGCTTTGCCAGACGTGCAGGGGCCACCGGAAATTCTTGGACTGATGAGCTGTCTCTAACGTTATTTTGTGAAAATTATTCTGTGGCAGTCCCTACATTGCTCGCAATCTTTAGCTCTCAGGCTAGTCCTGCATAGTCCAAATTCCAGATGCTTTACTTCAATTTTCTCAAAGCCTGCTTCTTCTTTACTGTAAAGAATTTTTGTTTTGATTTCAAATTTTAGTTGTACTTCTTATTTTTATATAGTGATCTGCTTTTAGTGATATTATTTGTTGCTCAGAAGTGAAGCATTTGGAATCAAGGATATGCCGCTAAACATCTGGGTTGTTGCACTGGGAAGTTGGTTACGGAGCCTGCGATTTGTTTTGGATCTGGCCATGTGGGCTTATCCATCCTCTTGCTCCACTTTATCGCTCCATGTTGCATTCATATCACCACTTGTTCTCAGTTAGGCGCAACAGACGCAAAGTCATTTATATGTCTGAAGGCAACACGGCAAATATCTGTAGTTTTCACTTGCCTTTAATAGATTAGCAGCTTCTAATTGATACACAAGAAGCTGTCATATGTCGTGATTCTAGTCGCCATACTCATTTCAGCTTAATTGGCACTCCAAATGCTTTTGCCGATCATAATTAATAGCAATAGTTGCTTCTCATGTAATTGAATTGAGATTTATAATGTTCAAGTTTTTTTGAGACTTTATTTGTAGGCTGACAAACATTACAAGTCGTATCATTTTTTCATAACATTATGACAGAGTAGGTACTGGGTGGGGAGAGTTAACACATTTTGTTCTATTTTTGTAATCAGCTTATTTATTCTCAATCTTAACATTATTTTTAAGAAAACATTATGTTCCTTTCATTGTTTTAATTTCCGTTTTGTTGTGTTCTTTACCATATAATGAATTTTGGTGTTTTAATGTTTTGCTTACTTCCTTTGCTCTTGAGTTTTGTTTCAGGTTGGATTGTATGCCTATCTTGATCAATTTTTTTCAATTTTCATCTGTTTTTTCTTTATTATACTAACAATGTATGAGTGAGAGTGTGCAAAAACAGTGCGACCAAAGTGAAAGAACTAATGAACTCAGTGAGGGGCAGGAATGTGATATTGCACGAAATGGATGCACCTGCGACTAACGGAATGTGCGACAATGTCAAAGAAGCACACTTTAATGCTTGCCAACAAATGCTCGCTCATTGGGGTTTGGCTCGGACTGTTCGGTTTGGTTTGTTCGGCAAAGCTATTGCCCTCTCCTTTTTTGTTTCAAAATGATATGTTCCTTAATTAACACATCAATTTGTTGGAACTGTCAACATTTTTTTCTCCGCTATCACTATATCTCTTTTGGCCCAGTGGTCAAATACATTTTAATTTTAATTCTTACGGATTAAGGTATCTTGTGCTTATTTTAATCCTTGTTATCTTGTTTCTTGATTGAGATATTTTATTTTGTTTTCAGGACATATTATTTCTATTCTTTTTATCCTTGGTTTTGAGTACAGGGTTTTTAAGTTAAGACAAATTCCTTGTGGGTTTGATTTAAGTGCAGCAAATTTGGGACCAGTGCCAAGATATTTTCCTCCTACTTAGTGCAATGGTCCTATCTCATGCTTGACTTTGCCTAACGTTAACAATCGCTGTCCGATAGACCATAGTGCTCATAGGGGTGTAAAAGATGGCACTGAGACTATATTTCTGCTCATTTTAGTGTGAAATCGACCATGTGAACCATGAAAATCATTCATGTACTCCACATCGACTCTTGCTTTTCTCATTATTTTGCATTTGCCTTGTGATAGTCTTTTATGTTTGCAGATGTGTGCTTAATGTCTCATGTTTTTTATTTTATTTTTTCTTGTGTTATGTTGCAATTTGTTATAACTTGATAAGCTATCGTGGCTGATTGTATGAATCAGAGGTGCAAATGAGAAATTCAGTTTGCCTTTCTTGTAACAGACAAGGTTGGAAATTTATCATTTGGGAGTACTATTTCTCCCTCTTGCGTTCTTCATCTGTCAGAAAAAATATTTTGAGATTTGGGAACATTGAAATTGGTTGAGGTTCTCTTTCAAATTCTTTTAATTTCCATCACTTGTCTGTGACTGTCGGTGGGGAAAGGTGCCTGACAAAGCTTAAGTGTGGAATGAATGGTGCTTTTTAGTGAGCATACCTGAATAAGAAAACTAGTGATGAATGCTTGAATCCAAGAGAAAGTATAAGTTCGTCAATTTGTTTAACTGGAAGCATTCATGTGCTTTTTTATCATTTTTGTTCGATCTGCTTCTCAAATGTGGGGGGTTTCTCTGAACCCACCACTTATTGCTAAAAAATTTATCAAATTCAATTGAAAATTTAAAAAAAAGTAATCGGGTGTAAATGCTCACTCTAATGTAGCCGAAGTTGTTTCGTTGCTCGCGCTAACAGTCCCTTTGTGTTGCGTGTTGTGGTGCAGCAAGCCATGGAGGAGAAGTACCGCCTGTGCGACGAGTCGCTGCAGAAGCTGCTGCAGTGGATCGCCGAGGTGGAGGACAGGCTGGCCAACCAAGACGTGGTGCACGAGCAAGTGGATGAACTCCGCAACCAGATCAACAACCTCAAGGTGCGTAGAGCGGCACAGTGGATTTGCCAGAAGACCGGTGGAGGCGGCCAAAACTCTAGACGCGTTTTGAGCTTTGAGTCGCTAAAGAGGACTCGAACCGAACGTGTGACCCCACCAATGAATTCCTCGTTCGGAGAGCAATCCATTGGTGGGGTCATACGTTCTGTTAGAGTCCCATTTAGAGTCCTCTGGCCTTCTGCGCCGACGCCACCGGTATTTCGACCGTAATTTTGTCACTGACTGCCACCGCCCTGCTGCAGGTCATGAAGGACGACCTGGACGCGCACGCCCGCCCCGTGTCGGCGTGCCTGGACCAGGTGCGCCTGATCGTGTCGACGGGCGGCGAGCTGCTGTCGAGCGTGGAGATGGCCTCCCTGGAGAAGAACGGCAAGGGGCTGCGCACGCGCTACGACCGCGCGCTCAACCGCACCGACCTGCTGCTGCGCCGCCTGGCCGCCGCCCGCGACGAGCTCACCAAGTTCCGCGGCGAGATGACGCAGTTCGTGTCGTGGCTGGACAAGGCGCGCCGCGTGCTGGAGGACAAGGAGCGCTCGCTGTCAAACCTGAACCGCCTGACGAGCGGCGCCGACTCGACGCGCGAGTTCGTCAGCGACGTGATCGCCCACCAGGCCGACCTGCGCTTCATCACCATGGCGGCGCAGAAGTTCGTGGACGAGTCCAAGGAGTACCTGACGGTGCTCAACGACTTCCGCACCAGCCTGCCGCAGCGCCTGCCCCACGTGGAGGCCATCTCGGCGCAGGACTCGGTGGTGCGCAACGAGGTGTCGGTGGTGACGGCGCAGTACAAGGACCTGCTGAACCGCTGCAACGCGCTCACGGACAGGCTGTCCGGCGTGGGCGGCCGTCAACGTGAGTACCGCGACGCCGTGGACAAGGCCCGCGCCTGGCTCAAGGAGGTGGAGCCGCGCGCGCACAAGATCATCGCCGAGCCCATCGGCGCCGACCCCAAGACCGTGGAGGACCAGCTGCACCGCGCCAAGCAGCTCAACAGCGAGTTCGTGGCCAACGCGCGCCTCATCGACAACGCCCGCCAGGCCCTGGCCGCGCTGCTGCGCTCGCTGGACGGCCAGCTGACGCCCGCCGAGGCCCGCGACCTGGAGCAGCCCGTGGTGGAGATCGAGGCCAAGTACAACCAGCTGGCCGAGGCGCTGGCGGACAAGTGCGCCGCGCTGGACACGGCCCTGACGCAGAGCCAGGGCGTGCAGGACGCGCTGGACGGGCTCGTCGGCTGGCTCAACAGCTCCGACAACCAGCTCAAGACGCAGTGGCGGCCCGCCAGCCTCATCAAGGAGCGCCTCGAGGAGCAGATCCGCGAGCACCGCCAGCTGCAGGCTGAGATCGACAGCCACAAGGCCAGCGTTGAGGCCGTGGCGCGCTCCGCGCAGGAGCTCGTCAACACCGCCAGCAACTCGCGCCTCGCCAAGAAGATCGAGACCAAGCTGCACGACGTGACGTCGCGCTTCGACAAGCTGCTGGACAAGGTGGCCAAGCGCGGCGAGTTCCTGGACGAGGTGATGGCCGCGCTCATGACCTTCTCCAACCAGGCCACGCTGCTGGAGCGCTGGCTGTCAGAAATGCTGGAGGTGCTGGACTCGCGCGAGCTGCCCGAGGTGGCGGCGCGGCTCGAGGACCTGGCCGCCAAGCGCGACGCCAAGCGGGAGCCCTTCGAGGAGGCCATCCGCAACGGCCGCAACCTGGTCGGCCAGAAGGACGTGACGGACACCGGGCCGGTGCGCGACCGCATCAAGGGCCTGGAGAGCCAGTGGAAGGAACTGAACGGCCTGCTGGACGAGAAGACGCGTCTCAGCCGCGCGCGCGCCGAGCAGCTCTCGGCCTACGACCGCCTGCGCGACCAGGTCATGGAGTGGCTCAGCAACATGGAGAACAGGCTGGCGCGCCTCGAGGCCATCGCCCTGGACGCCGAGTACCTCAAGAAGCAGTCCGAGGAGATCAAGGTGAGGGGAGCGCCTGCCAAGCGTAGGGCGGGCCGTGCCGCGGTACATTGGTGTGCTGCGGGACTGCCTACCCGAGCGTCACAGGGGCTTCAGCCTGTGAGGGTAGGCTGTACCGCAGCACATCCGTGTCCCGCGGCACGGCCTACCCTGAGCATCGCAGGGGCTCCAACCGAATGTCTTGAACCTGTCGACAACGCTTTGCTGACCGCGTTGCGTTTCCTCTCCAGCCGCTGGTGAAGGAGCACCGCGACTACGCCGGCATCATCGACAAGGTGAACGACCTCGGCAACGCGTACGACGCGCTGACCCAGGGCGGACGCCCGGACTCGCCGGCCCGTCGCCGCAGCGGCGCCTACAGCCCCACCAAGCGCCTGTCGTCCACGGCCAGCCCCAGTAAGTACCAACTCGTGTCTGAAATTAGTTGGAAACGCCAGAAGTCGCTCGGTCTCTCCGGTTTCTCAGACTGGCTTCAGCATGCCCACGCCATTGTCCTTAATAGGACCTTGAGGAACCTTTTGAGCAAAACGTCACCAACGTGCATGTGCCTCCAGAGAATCTTTAGTTGTCATTCCCCGATGCACTTTGCCGGTAGTTCACGACGGTTCATGTGGAGGGTAGTTGTGCCCCCACTCAGGTGTCTGGTCTGCACCTTCTTCCCCACACTGTCGCCGGCGCTCGCGCTCGCACGCCCGTCACGCTCGTTTGCTGATGCTTGCTCGCCTTGCAGTCGGCCGGCGCTCGTCGCAGGACGCGCTCTTGACGAGCCCCGTGTCGCCAGGTGGTTCGAGCGGCTTCGGCAGCCGGCGCTCGTCGCAGGACGGCGGCTTCCACCTGGACGAGGTGTCGCCCGTGCAGCAGCAGCTCACCGAGATCAACAACCGCTACTCGCTGCTCGGCGTGCGCCTCGGCGACCGCCAGACCGAGCTGGACCAGGTGCGCGAGGAGGTGCGCAAGATCCTGGAGAACCTTCGCACGCTGTCCGTGTTCCTGGACAAGGTGCAGCGCGCCCTGCCCAAGGAGAGCGTGCCCATGACCAAGGACGAGGCCGACAAGATGACCCGACAAATCAAGGTGAGTCTCACTATGTCAACCTTTGAGAAACTCTCAAGTAAATAATTCTAGTATGTTAAATCTTCCAATTATCAAAGATTTTGAAAAAATGTTGAATTAATGAAATACCTGGTAAAATTTAAAAAAAACATTCAATTTTTGAATGAAGTATCAAATTTCTTGAAAAATGTAACTTTTTAAGTGGTTTATCTTTGAAAATTGGCTAAAATTTGAAATTTTGTGAGGTAAAAGCATGCGTATTTTAACGTGGTGAATTGTGGTCGCAGAGCGTCCTCGAAGAGATGTACGAGAAGCAGTCCCTGTTGGACGGCACGCGCGGCTCGGTGCAGGAGCTCCTGCGCCGCAAGCCTGGCGCGCGCGGCGCCGACACCCTGCACGACGAGATGGCCGAGGTTGCGTCCCGCTGGCGCGCGCTGCACGACCTGTGCAAGGCGCGCATCAAGCTCATGGAGGACATGAAGGACTTCCACGACACGCACGACTCGCTGAGCGGCTGGCTGGCCGCCAAGGACAGGATGCTGACGGTGCTGGGCCCCATCTCGTCCGACCCCAGGATGGTGCAGAGCCAGGTGCAGCAGGTGCAGGTGCTCCGCGAGGAGTTCCGCACCCAGCAGCCCCAGCTCAACCACCTGCTGGAGGTGGGCGACGCCGTGCTCGCGCACGTGGACCGCAACTCCGGCGACGGGCAGCGCATCGCCGCCAAGCTGGACCAGATCCAGCAGCGCTGGAACGACCTGCTGGGCCGCCTGGAGGAGCGCGCCGAGAGCCTGGGCGCCGCGGCCGACACGAGCCGGGAGTTCGACGCCCAGCTCACCAGGCTGCGCGACGCCCTGCAGGCCATCAGCGACGCCCTGGACGACCTGCCGCTCGACAAGGACCCCGAGGAGCAGCTGCGCAAGATCGAGGTGAGGATGGCCGACACTGGTAAATCAAAGGATATGTAATTTTGTCCGGTTTAACACTGTGTTCCTCCCTGAGCAGAACCTGGAGCGCCAGCTGGAGGGACAGCGGCCGCTGCTGGCTGACGTGGAGGCCGCCGGCGCGCAGCTGTGCGAGGTGCTGACGGACCCCGCGTCCCGCGCCGACATCCAGGCCAAGCTGGCCGCCGTCATCCGCCAGTACAACACCCTGCAGAAGAAGCTGGACCACCGCAAGGCCGAGATCGAGGGTTCGCTCCGCGACGGCCGCCAGTTCGAGCAGTCGTGCGCGCGCACGCTGGGCTGGCTGTCGGACGAGCTGGGTGGGCTGTCGGAGCGCCTGCTGGTGTCCGCGGACCGCGACGTGCTGCAGGAGCAGCTGGACAAGCACGAGCCCGTCTACAAGGCGGTGCTGAACCGCGAGCACGAGGTCATCATGCTGCTCAACAAGGGCCGCGACATGCAGGCACGCGCCGGCCCCCGCGGCGACGCGCGCAACCTGGGCCGCGACCTGGACAAGATCCAGCAGGCGTGGGACCGGCTGCGCAAGGACGTCCTGGAGCGCCACACGCGCCTGCAGACGTGCATGGAGCACTGCAGGAAGTACTACCGCGCGCAGGAGCAGTTCCTGCCCTGGCTGCTGCAGGCCGAGGACAAGCTGGAGTCCCTGCAGCCCGCGAGCTTCAAGCGCAAGGACATCGAGCGGCAGCTCAAGGAGCTGGCCGCCTTCCGCAACGACGTGTGGAAGCGGTCCGGCGAGTACGAGAACAACCGCATGCTCGGCGAGACGTTCGTGGGCTCGTGCGACATCGACAAGGACATCGTCAAGAACGAGCTGACCAACATGAAGCAGCGCTGGGACCGCCTCAACAACGGGCTGCTGGAGCGCACGCAGGCGCTGGAGGAGACGGCCCGCCGCCTCGGCGACTTCGGCGAGAACCTCCGCGACCTGGCGCACGCCGTGCAGCGCTGCGAGGACAAGCTGGCCTCGCACGACGCCATCGGCGGCGCCGCCAGGGACCCCAAGATGCTGGAGAGGATCCGCGCGCTGCGCGAGGAGGCCGGCAACCTCAAGAAGCCCCTGCTGGGGCTCCGCCAGGCCGCCGGCGACCTCGTCAAGGAGGCCGGCGAGCACGGCGTCGACGCGCACCACCTCCAGGACGAGGTGGAGGGCGTCGGTGACCGCATCGACGAGCTGTGCGCCAAGCTGGACGACCGCTGCAGCCAGCTGCAGTCCGCCGCCACGGCCGTGTCGCAGTTCAACGAGCAGGTCAAGGCCCTGGGCCAGGACCTGACGGGCCTGGAGAACGAGCTGGACGCCATGAAGCCGCCTGGCAGGGAGATCAAGGTGGTGCGCGCGCAGCTGGAGGACGTGTCGCGCTTCCTCAAGAAGGTGAGTGCTCTGCCAAGTTCAGTAGGGATCGTGCTTTACCCCTTCACCTTCGTCCAACTGGTTTGTTTTTATTTTTCGTTGACAGGTAAGCCGCGCCGCGGACGACGTGGCCCGCGCCGTGCAGTCGGGCGAGCACCTGGTGGACTCCGGCTTCGCGTCGGACACCGTGGCGACGCGCGACCAAGTGGAGTCGCTCCGCCGGCAGCTGGCGCGCCTCGAAGAGCGCGGCCGCAACCGCGAGGAGGACCTGGACGCGGCGCTGGGCCGCCTGGAGTCGTTCTACCAGCAGTACGCGGTGGTGATGGAGGACATCAACCACGCCGCCGAGCAGGTGCGCAAGCTGAAGCCCATCGGCTCGGACCTGGACAGCATCAAGGCCCAGCAGGAGGAGTTCCGCCACTTCCGGCGCGCCACCATCGAGCCCCTGGGCGCCACGGTGGGCGACACCAACCGCGCCGGCCAGGGCCTGGTGCAGAGCGCCGCCGGCGGCGTCAGCACCGCCGTGCTGGAGAAGGACCTGGAGAAGCTCAACGACCGCTGGAACGACCTCAAGGAGAAGATGAACGAGCGCGACCGGCGCCTCGACGTTGGGCTGCTGCAGTCCGGCAAGTTCCAGGAGGCGCTGGACGGGCTGTCCAAGTGGCTCAGCGAGACCGAGGAGATGGTGGCCAAGCAGAAGCCGCCCTCGGCCGACTACAAGGTGGTCAAGGCGCAGCTGCAGGAGCAGAAGTTCCTCAAGAAGATGCTGCTCGACCGTCAGAACTCCATGTCCTCGCTGTTCGCCATGGGCAACGAGGTGGCCGCCAACGCCGACCCGGCCGAGCGCAAGGCCATCGAGCGCCAGCTCAAGGACCTGATGGGACGCTTCGACCGGCTGACGGAGGGCGCGCAGCAGCGCATGGAGGCCCTGGAGATGGCCATGGCCGTGGCCAAGCAGTTCCAGGACAAGCTGGTGCCCATCATGGAGTGGCTGGACAAGACCGAGCGCAAGGTCAAGGACCTGGAGCTGGTGCCCACCGACGAGGAGAAGATCCAGCAGAAGATCCGCGAGCACGACGCCCTGCACAAGGAGATCCTGCGCAAGAAGGCGGCCTTCACCGAGCTCACCGAGGTGGCCAGCACGCTGATGGAGTTGGTGGGCGAGGACGAGGCGGCCGGCCTGGCCGACAAGCTGACGGAGACGACGGACCGCTACGCCACACTGGTGGAGGCCTCCGAGGCCGTGGGCGCGCTGCTGCAGCAGTCCCGGCAGGGCCTGCGTCACCTGGTGCTGACCTACCAGGACCTGCAGGCGTGGATGGAGAAGATGGAGAAGGAGCTGAACCGGCACCGCGTGCTGGCCGTGCACACCGACAAGCTGCTGCAGCAGATGGACGACCTCGCCGACCTCACCGAGGAGATCGCCAACAAGCAGACGCAGGTGGACGGCACCGTGGACAGCGGGCTGGAGCTCATGAAGCACATCTCCAACGACGAGGCCATCCAGCTCAAGGACAAGCTAGACTCGCTGCAGCGCCGCTACAACGACCTGACGTCGCGCGGCGCGGACCTGCTGAAGCACGCGCAGGAGGCCCTGCCGCTCGTGCAGCAGTTCCACAACTGCCACACCAAGCTGGTGGACTGGATGATGGGCGCCGAGGCGACGCTGCAGCAGGCCGAGCCCCGCGAGGAGGACATCCACCGCCTGGAGCTGGACATCCAGGAGTTCCGGCCCGTGCTGGAGGCCATCAACCAGGTGGGGCCGCGGCTGTGCCAGATGTCGCCCGGCGAGGGCGCCTCCACCATCGAGGGGCTCATGACGCGCGACAACCGGCGCTTCGACGCCATCGCCGAGCAGATCCAGCGCAAGGCGGAGCGCATCCAGCTGTCGAAGCAGCGCTCGCTGGAGGTCATCAGCGACATCGACGAGCTGCTGGACTGGTTCCGCGAGGTGGAGAACCAGATCCGCGAGGCGGAGCCGCCCAGCTCGGACCCCGACGTGATCCGCGTGCAGCTCAAGGAGCACAAGGCCCTCAACGACGACATCTCGTCGCAGAAGGGCCGCGTGCGCGACGTGCTGTCCACGGCCAAGAAGGTCCTGCGCGAGTCCGCGCAGCAGGAGGACACGGGCACCATCCGCGAGAAGATGGAGGACCTGCGCGAGATGATGGAGCTGGTGTCCGGGCTGAGCGCGGACCGCCTCGGCATCCTGGAGCAGGCGCTGCCGCTCGCGCAGCACTTCCTGGAGACCCACGCCACGCTGGCCAGCTGGCTGACGGACATGGAGCGCCAGGTGGCCATGCTGGCCATGCCGTCGCTGCGCCCGGACCTGATCGCGCAGCAGCAGGACCGCAACGAGATGTTCCTGCAGTCCCTCAACGAGCACAAGCCGCTGCTGGACAAGCTCAACAAGACGGGCGAGGCGCTCATCTCGCTCGTCAACGACGAGGAGGGCTCCAAGGTGCAGGACGTGATGGACGGCGACAACGCCCGCTACAACGCGTTGCGCGTCGACCTGCGCACGCGCCAGCAGGCGCTGGAGAAGGCCCTGCAGGAGTCGAGCCAGTTCGCCGACAAGCTGGAGGGCATGCTGCGCGCGCTCACCAACACCGCGGACCAGGTTAACAACATGGAGCCCGTCTCGGCGCACCCGCCCAAGATCCGCGACCAGATCGACGACAACAACGCCATCGTGGAGGACCTGGACAAGCGGCAGGAGGCGTACGACGCGGTGAAGCGCGCCGCCACGGACGTCATCAACAAGGCCGGCAACCGGGCCGACCCCGCCGTCAACGACATCAAGCGCAAGCTGGAGAAGCTCAACAGCCTGTGGAACGACGTGCAGAAGGCGACCGGCGACCGCGGCAAGTCACTCGACGAGGCGCTGCGCGTGGCGCAGAAGTTCTGGGAGCAGCTGCACGCCGTCATGGCCACGCTGCGCGACCTGCAGGACACCCTGCAGTCCCAGGACCCGCCCGCCGTGGAGCCCTCCGTCATCAAGCAGCAGCAGCACGCGCTGCAGGACATCCGCCACGACATCGACCAGACCAAGCCCGAGGTGGACCAGGTGCGCCAGACCGGCCAGAAGCTCATGAAGATCTGCGGCGAGCCCGACAAGCCCGAGGTGAAGAAGAACATCGAGGACCTGGACAGCGCCTGGGACAACATTACCGCCCTGTACGCGCGCCGCGAGGAGAATCTCATCGACGCCATGGAGAAGGCCATGGAGTTCCACGAGATGCTGCAGAACCTGCTGGCCTTCCTGGACAAGGCCGAGGACAAGTTCGCCCACATGGGCGCGCTCGGCTCGGACATCGACGCCGTCAAGAGGCAGATCAGCCAGCTCAAGGACTTCAAGCACGAGGTGGACCCCCACATGGTCAAGGTGGAGGCACTCAACAGGTGAGCACAAGCCTAACTTAGAACACGAAATTCTCATTGATGTGGTGTTGATCCCGAACCGACTGTTTCAAGTCAAAACTTAAGGCTAGACCTTGTAGCTATCAGTTCGATACCGTTCGATCAAATTGTTAACTTCTGTGAAACTCTGCTAAAAAGTTCTTTTCCTGTGGTATTCCCCATTTCACTCTTTACTGCTCCCAGAGTATGCAGTATCTCTGCCACTAACATTCTCCCGCCCTACGAACCTGCTGCCTCACCAACTTACTAATTTCCTCATGCTTCTTTCTTCCATCCTTCCTCTTTTTTCCATGCCACCCTCAGGAGTTTACGAAGGCAAGTAGCCCCGCAGCCTTGTTTTTTTAATATTCCGTGTGACGTAGTTTGCTTTTTCAGTCACGTTTTTTTGGTGACTAAACGACCAGTCTCGCTGTGTACTTTGTTGAAGTGTTTGGTTTATTACCGGTTGTTGTTAAGTAGGTCATTGAATTATTTGTTTCACTAGAATTCGTTTTTGTTTGTTAGATGTTTGACTGCTTGTTTTATTATTTTAAAAAAATTAACGTTGGAAATCAGGCCGTCGAAAAAGCGTGGCCTGGCCGCGTTGTTTGGTAGTCTGGCCGAAGCAGTGTACTGACTGGTGCTTCCCCGCCCGCAGGCAAGCCCAGGAGCTGACGGAGCGCACCTCGGCCGACCAGGCCGCCGCCATCAAGGAGCCTCTGAACGCGGTGAACCGCCGCTGGGACGACCTGCTGCGCGGCATGGTGGAGCGGCAGCGGCAGCTGGAGAACGCGCTGCTGCGCCTCGGCCAGTTCCAGCACGCCCTGTCCGAGCTGCTGGCCTGGATCGACGCCACGGAGCGCACGCTGGACTCGGACCTCAAGCCCGTGCCCGGCGACCCGCAGCTGCTGGAGGTGGAGCTGGCCAAGCTCAAGGTGGGTGTCGCCCAGTGGATTTGCCAGGCGGTCAAAATCCCGGACGCGTTTTGAGCTCCAGAGTCGCTAAATGGTACTCGAACCGAACGTGTGACCCCACCAATGGATTGCTCTCCGAACAAGGAATCCATTGGTGGGGTCACACGCTCGGTTTGAGTCCCATTTAGTGACTCGGGAGCTCATAACTAGATCTCTTGTGCACTGGTGAAGCAAATTACCCACGTTGTTCGGCGTGACTGAGCTCCTCCCTCGGCCTGCAGGTGCTGGTGAACGACATCCAGGCGCACCAGTCGTCCGTGGACACGCTGAACGACGCGGGCCGGCAGCTGATCGAGAGCGGCAAGGGCACCTTGGAGGCGTCCAGCACGCAGGAGAAGCTGTCGACGCTGAACCGGCGGTGGCGCGAGCTGCTGCAGAAGGCGGCTGACCGGCAGACGGAGCTGGAGGACGCCCTGCGGGAGGCGCAGCGCTACCACGCCGAGGTGCAGGACCTGCTGTCGTGGCTCGGCGAGGTGGACGGCGTCATCGCCGCCTCCAAGCCCGTCGGCGGGCTGCCCGAGACGGCGTCCGAGCAGCTGCAGCGCTTCATGGAGGTGTACAACGAGCTGGAGGAGAACCGGCCCAAGGTGGAGTCGTGCCTGGCGCAGGGCCACGAGTACCTCAAGAAGTCGAGCGAGCGGCGCGCCAGCAACCTGGAGCACAACCTGCGCACGCTCAAGCAGCGCTGGGACTCGGTGACGGCGCGCGCCAACGACAAGAAGATCAAGCTGGAGATCGCGCTCAAGGAGGCGACCGAGTTCCACGACGCGCTGCAGGCCTTCGTGGACTGGCTGACGAACGCCGAGAAGGTCCTCAGCAACCTCAAGCCCGTGTCCCGCGTCATGGAGACCATCCTGCAGCAGATCGAGGAGCACAAGGCCTTCCAGAAGGACGTCGGCGTGCACCGCGAGACGATGCTCAACCTGGACAAGAAGGGCACGCACCTCAAGTACTTCAGCCAGAAGCAGGACGTGATCCTCATCAAGAACCTGCTCATCTCGGTGCAGCACCGCTGGGAGCGCGTCGTGTCCAAGAGCGCCGAGCGCACGCGCGCCCTGGACCACGGCTACAAGGAGGCGCGCGAGTTCCACGACGCGTGGTCCGGCCTCATGTCGTGGCTCACGGACACGGAGAAGGGGCTGGAGGAGCTGCAGGTGGAGGAGGGCGTCGGCAACGACCCCGACCGCATCAAGCAACGCCTCGCCAAGCACCGCGAGTTCCAGCGCGCGCTCAGCGGCAAGCAGGCCACGTACGACGCCACCATGCGCGCCGGCAAGACCCTCAAGGACCGCGCGCCCAAGACGGACGAGACGGCCCTGCGCAACATGCTGACGCAGCTCAAGAACAAGTGGACCGCCGTGTGCGCCATGTCCGTGGAGCGGCAGCGCCGCCTGGAGGAGGCCCTGCTGTACTGCGGCCAGTTCAAGGACGCCGTGCAGGCCCTCATGGACTGGCTCTACAAGATGGACAAGATCCTGGCCGAGGACGGCCCCGTCCACGGCGACCTGGACACCGTCATGGCGCTCGTCGAGCAGCACAAGCAGTTCGAGGAGGACCTCAGCAGCCGCTCCGCCCAGATGGAGTCCGTCAAGCGCACCGGCAAGGACCTCATGGACAAGGCCACGGCCGCGGACGCCGCCGCCATCCGGTCGCAGCTCAGCGAGCTGACGTCCATGTGGGACAAGGTGAGCCGCCTGTCGGACCGCAAGACGAAGCGCCTGGAGGACGCGCTGAAGGAGGCGGAGGCCCTGCACAAGGCCGTGCACATGCTGCTGGAGTGGCTGTCGGACGCCGAGATGAAGCTGCGCTTCTCCGGCACGCTGCCCGAGGACGAGCACGAGACGCGCGCCCAGCTGGCGGAGCACGAGAAGTTCATGCGCGAGATGCGCGAGAAGGAGCGCGAGAAGGACCAGACCATCGCGCTGGCGCAGCGCATCCTGGCCAAGGCGCACCCCGACGGCGCCACCGTCATCAAGCACTGGATCACCATCATCCAGTCGCGCTGGGAGGAGGTGTCCAGCTGGGCCAAGCAGCGCGAGCAGCGCCTCAACGACCACCTGCGCTCGCTGCGCGACCTGGACTCGCTCCTCGAGGAGCTGCTGTCCTGGCTGCAGGGCCTGGAGAGCAACCTGCTGTCCCTGGAGGCTGAGCCGCTGCCCGACGACCTCAACACGCTGCGCCAGCTCATCCAGGAGCACCAGGAGTTCATGGAGAACACCGCCGTGCGCCAGGGCGAGGTGGACGCCGTCTGCAAGAGCAGGCAGGTGGCCAAGGGGCCCGCCGCCAAGGACAAGGACCGGCGCCCGTCCAAGCCCAGGACCTCGCTGTCTTCGTGAGTACCCCTTGCCCTCTGTTTCTCTGCCTGCATTGCATTGCATTGTACCCGCGGCGCGCCATGCTGTTGCCAGTGGCGGATCTGGAGCCGGCCTGAGGGAGGGTGGCAAAGTTGCACTTCTGCCTACCTAGAGGGGCAAAGTGTAGCTTTTCTGGTCCCTTTCAGGTGGCTCTCTAGTGGCCTCCCCACTGGATCCGCGCCTGTGATTTGCCATGCCATAGACGTGTCTTGTGTTCCAAGTTCAGACACTAGTTGTGTGCAGTAGTCTTGATTTCGTGTGGCATTGCTTAGAAAAGTTCCCTGGCGTTCCTCGCCTGGAATCGATATAGCTGCAGTGTGTGCTTGTAGAGTGTGTTTTAGTTTTTGTTTTTGTTTGTGCGTGTCGTCGTTTGCTTTTCTGAGCCGCTTTCTTTTGTCCACTCGCCCCTGTGCTGCGCCCCTGCACGCTCCATGCTCGCTTAAGCAGAAGGGACCTCGAGCGCGAGTCTTCCCCCGAGTACGAGATGTCTGGTCGCAAGGGCAGGTAGGTGTCGCTGCTTTGTTGCTTCAAGTTCCGTGTCGTTTTGTGTTGAAATTGATGCCAATTCCCTTTAAGAGTCTGTTGCATTCTATTGAAAAATTAGTGCCACTTTCCTTACTTGTGATACCCTTGTGAATTCTCAAAGTCAAAGTTAATCTCTTACATTGGACAAAATCCTATTAGTGCATTTAGTTTGTATTTCCCGTCAATTTCTTTTTTCTTGAACTTGAATTGTTGTATGTACTGTTGTAGAATGTATCCAGTTGTCTACGTATTTAGCAGTTTGCAGCATGTTTTGACATTCCCTTGTTTTTTTGTTTTTTTCTGTTCTTCTGTGTGCCCCTTATCATCGGTAGTCGCGCGAGTCCAGGACGAGAGAAAACTCCAGACATTTACCCGCACATTGGACCACGATTCCCGCCCAAAGGAAGGTCAGATATACTTGTAATCAACAGGGGAAAAAACCCTAAATGAACAAAAGAATTGCCCATCTGATGTTAAGACCTGGGTTTCTTCCATAATTTGTTAAAAAAATATTCAAACCATGGTTTTTTAACTTGCAAAACCCAAAAGTATCCGCAATTTGTTTTTCTATATTTTGGCATGTTTAATAGTTAGTTTTGAACGAGTAGAGCAAAGTTGTGCCGTACAAATTTTTGATACTTGAGACGTAGTTTGTTTTTTGGACTTACGGTGTGCTCTGAAGAGCCTTGACTCACACTCCTTTCCCTCGACAGCAAAGGGGCTGAGCCGCAGTTCCGCAGCCCGCGCGTGAAGCTGCTGTGGGACAAGTGGCGCAACGTCTGGATGCTCTCGTGGGAGCGCCAGCGTCGTCTGCAGGAGAAGTATAACTACCTCCTGGAAATGGAACGTGTCAAGAACTTCAGCTGGGATGACTGGAGGAGGCGGGTATGTTTCACAACAAAATACTCACACTGTACTTCTTGATTTCTTTGTTGCAATGCATCTGATTTCTACCTTTCTTTTGAAGTTCCTGAAGTTCATGAACCACAAGAAGTCTCGTCTCACTGACCTGTTCCGTAAGATGGACAAGAACAATGATGGCCTCATCCCTCGAGAGGACTTTATCGATGGCATAATCAAAACCAGTATGTGCACTCATATTTCTGCTTTAATAAAAATTGATTGAAAATTTTAACAGTTATAGCAAGTAATTTCCATGAATTAATCTTTTCCAGAATTTGATACCAGTCGGTTAGAGATGAATGCTGTGGCGGACATGTTCGACCACAACAATGAAGGTCTGATTGACTGGAAGGAGTTCATCGCTGCTCTTAGGCCTGACTGGGAAGAAAAGCAGCCATCTGTTGAGGCTGATAAGATTCATGATGAAGTCAAGAGGCTTGTGATGTTGTGTACCTGCCGACAGAAATTCCGTGTGTTCCAAGTCGGAGAAGGCAAATACAGAGTGAGTGCTACCTTATTTCATAGCTTTCCTGAAATTTTTCTTGTCACTGCAATAGGGCAAAAAATACAGCTACTAACGAAAAATTCTTTTCAGTTCGGCGACAGTCAAAAGCTGCGTTTGGTCCGTATCCTGCGGTCTACTGTCATGGTCCGTGTTGGCGGTGGATGGGTTGCTCTGGATGAATTCCTTGTCAAGAACGATCCTTGCAGAGGTAAGACTTGTTCTTTTGAAATCAAAGTGCCATTCAATCCAGCCCTAAACATGTGTAGAAGATTCAACAAAGCTTGTGGGCAAAGCGAGATTTGTGCAAAAAATTCATTTCAAAGAAGTATTTTGCTGCTTCAAGTTTATTGAATCCCCTGGCCTCTTCCATTTCCCCCCTTATTTTGATATTGTTAAGAGTCTTTTTAAGAGTCTAGGGCTTGTTGATTTTACTCATCATTACCTTGATTTTGTTATTGACTTTCTTAGTGAATAAGCTCTCAGTAACAGGGCCTTCCATTCCAGATTATTGTAACAGAACAGAAGTGGTAAAAAAATGTCCATCAAAGCAAGTTTAGAATTTTTATGAAGTATTATTATAGTATCTAGAGTTAAGTTTAATTTGCTGTGGGACTTTTTTTTTCCATGTTCTGATCTTATTTAATGATTATCTCTTCTAGGTTCATGTTCAGCTGATTCTTTTCCTGTTCATTTTCTTTCTTTTCTTTTGTGCCTCTTGGAGACATTAGGAAATTTTCCATCTGGGTTGTTCTGACAAAGTTTATGTATGTGTATTATCATATGGGGATCAGATGCGTAACAGGTTTCAGTTGTGGTGACTGGATCTCTGAAATACTCCTTCTAATGCCACAATTAACTTAGATTTGGTGTGACATTTAATACCCAAATAACAAACAAATGCAAAGAGTGAGTGTTCATTAATATGAGGATTATTGTTTTTGAGTGATGAATGACACATTGCTTCTAACTCCACATCATGATCACAAATAACCGCCCACAAGTAACCATAGGTTGAGCTTGTTCGAAAACAAATTGGTTGATGCAGTCTTCAATGATCAGGAATTCCAATAAAATTATTTTAAGCTATACTCAAGACAGCTTGAACTGTAGCTGTATTGAAAAGATACTTAGATTTGTCTGACAAGACCGGCTTTAGTTTGTGCTGTGATTCTCTCATGTTGAGACTAAATTCACATGCGCTTTCCTCTTATCACAGTTCAGCTTTCATTGAAAAGTTCCCGTAAATCACCTCATTAAACTCATTGTGTAGTCTTAGAAGTTGCCACTAACTCATAACTCATCACCAGCACCCATCATTTTATATTCAGTGCCAATTTATTCATCATCTAGTAAATGCAACAGTCATCTCATCCAAAAAGTAGAGTCTGTTTGCAAAAAACAAAGAAAAAAAGGTATTTGCTACTTCTGCTGCCATGTATCCAGTGTTAAGCAGTGTCAACGTTCTGCTTTGTGGTGTAAAGTAGCCTTAGCTTCCTATCTCTCATCAACAATTTTGCAGATGTGAACTAACTCTGGTCTGTACTTCTTTCTCTTTTTTACTTTCCTTTTTCTCCCTTTACCTTGTCCTGTTATGCTTGATTATTTTCTGCACCTCCTTACTTTTGTTTCTTCCCTTGCTTTGTTTATTTTGATTGCTCATTTTGGTATTGGACTTGTGTGTATGTATGCATGCATGACCTGTGTGTGCTTACTCAATTACTCAATTCAGTTGAGCTTTACTTACCCATACCAGACCCTAATAAACCAGAAGAACATGAGCCTTGGTGCCCATTGGGCATCATTGAACGTGGTAAGCCCAAGCTCTCTGGTCAATTGCTGCTCTTAGAACTAAAAACATTATATATTGTTACGCTTGTGCATATTTTACCTTATTAGTCTGTTACGAAAAATATTTTCTTTTTTTTCCCCTGTTTAAAGTAGAGTTAAAAAGTTAGTTAAAGTATGGCTAGCCAATTAAGAAACAATATTTCTGTGCTTAAATATAAGGTACTTACTTTCCTACCCAGGTTATACTTTTCATGTGTTTGCTTGCTTTCAATGGTCTTCACATTCTTTTTTCATTATGATTCCTTTCTTTATCCTGACAGACTTTGTTAAAAGGTCTGTCTTGCTTGGGGACTTGTCATTTATCACAATACCAGATACTTCATTCCCATCATTTTAATCCAAGCTCATTTCCAGTTCTGTTTCATTCGTTCATTCATTCTGTTTCATCACTTGTTCATTTAATTGAGTTGCAAGTGTATCCCAAGCAGTAAATTGTACTACCTTGTTTTAGGATTCGAAACAGGGAAATAGAAATATTGAATCACCTGATCTAAGTCTTATTTTCTGTTTAGTTATGGCTTGTAGTCCAGTTGAATGTATAAGGCAAGATTGACAAACTCGGTAATATTTTGCCCTACTCAGCTTTGAATGGATGAAATTAAATTTGTTGTAAGACTAAATTTGTTTTTGACGTAATTCAATGGGTTAACTTGCTTCCATAAATGTTATGTTTGTTAGGATTAAAAAAAAAAAAAATTGATTGGCACGTCTTGCCTCTTACATTCCTGTTTTCACATGGCTGTGCTACTCATGCATTACGGTTGAAGGCTGTTTGTTTTGCAATTAAAAAATGGAGCAGTTTTGATTCCCCATTCGAAATTAATCACTTCAAATTATTCTTAAATCAAAAGTCTTTGATCATGCACCTACAAACAGTCTTCATTGGCTTTTAGGCACCAAGTGTTTTGATTTGAAGTGTTTGCTTTTTGATCAACTCATTTCCAGTCAATGGCTTTCAATAACTATTTATTAGAATGGAATGAGAAATACAAGTAATGGCCATAGTTGCTGTGAATGAGTTGAATAGTGCTGTTTGTTTTTTTAACTTATTGCAAATCGTATTATGATTAGCACTTTTGAGAATCTTTGTTTGGTTTGTGCTTTTACTTATCTGTTTTGTTTTGCTTTTTTTCTCCTTTTCCTTCTCTCTTTTCACCTTTCCTTTGTTCATCCCCAATCCGCTCCTCCGCTCTACCTCCCACCCTACCTTATTCCTTTCCCTTCAATCCTCCTTCACGCTATCACAAACACATTGGACCACTGCACGGATGCTGGATATTGGGATATAGCCAAGGGACGCACCAACATCGAGCTACGAGAACAGTTCATCCTGGCTGATGGTGTGTCACAAAGCATGTCCGCCTTCAAGCCTAAACACTCTTCGTCCAGCAGCCAACGATCAGCGTCACTGTCCAGCGCTGGTCCAATCACAAAGGTTGGTCCCTCTCACCTCCTTCTCTATCCTGTCTCCTATTTACCATCCCTTTCTCTTTTCTTCTCCTTTTTCAGTTTTTAAGTTTCTATTTTATTTTTTTATTTTGAACAAAAATTTCTGCATGGAAGATCATTTAGAACTTTAAAATCTTATTTATAAAATTTTATTTCATATTAGCCTGTATTATAAAGTAGTGCTAAAATCTTCCCTTTCTTTTTACCCTTCTTTTTTCCTTTCTTCCGTTTTAACATCACTACTATTCATTGTAAACCTTGGTGAAGGTATGTATCGTGTATATGCTGGGAGTATTTTTGCTGGCACTGAATGATGACAAAATTTCCTTACCATTTAGCTTCTATTGTTCTTTTCAAGTGCATTTGACCCAAAATTCAAGTATAATACTAATTTTGATGATTTATTTGCACTCTTTATGTAAAAATTGTCTGCCTTCCAACAGCTATTTGGGAAGTTTTGTCATTGTTCTTCTTTACTCTGGGCAGATCATTCTGCAGGTCTTGTTGACATTTCACGAATTGCTCTGCCAGTGAGTGTCTTCAGGCCTTTAAGGTTTGTACTTCCACTCTCGTTTGCTTCAAGCACTTCCAAGTAATAGCAGCATCCAGGTTAGTACCCAAACACCAAAAGACAATAAGAAAACGGATTTTCTCTATAAAAATGGAAAGAAGAAAGTTATCACTTGATGTCACTCGCTTTCTCCTTTATCACATCATCACATTACAGTCTCAAATTTCACATGTGAGGCAATGCTGAATAATCAGCAGAACAATCCACACTCATTTATCACAAGGATTTGTAGTATTTTTTTTAAAGCTAGGTCAATCACATAAGTAGCTGCTCTTAAGTGTGTTTGCGCTAGTTGCAAAGATGTGTGCTTATAACTGCTGTACAACCAAATACTTTAGGGTCAATTAGATAAGACAGTAATAAGTAGCATTACTGTTAACTCCGCTTTGCATAAAATTTGTGTGATTTCCTGATCATGATGCACACTCTTTTTTACGGTGTGGCTTATCAAAGAAGTTTTTTATCTCTGCATTTAAATCATTGTTTGTTGTGTGTGGTTAATGATTGTTTAAGGAGCATCTGTTCAACCGCTAAATTGTGTTTTAAGAGGTTACTTAATGTCACCTGCCTTTTTTTTTTTGTTGTCATTTTTTAAAAAGTTTCTTTTATTTTGGTTTCATATTTCATTGTTATTTTTATTCCCATCAACTTGTTAGTAACTTGTCTTCTACACTCTTGGAGGCTGTCGTGAATCATTTTTGTGGCGTAATTCAATAGGTCAGACCAACACAAACACTCCAGGAATTCCAGAGGCTGCTTTGGATATCTCCTTCTGAGGCACAAAGAATGCGAAGAAACTGTGGGCACATTGTAGAGGGTGGGTTTAGTTTAGTGGTAGCTTGATGAATTGGACCCTTTTTCAGCGGAGGAATTCCTCAGTCAGCTGATGCCAATATTTGAGAGTCTTCGACAGAAGGAAGAAATCCCATGCTCGTACCCCCTGGCTATGGGCACCCGCTCCGGCGGGCCTACGTACCATTGGATTAATAGAACTCATTGTCATGAGGCAAGTTGTGTGGCAATACTCCTGGCGCCAGACCCAATCATGGTTCCAGAGTTATTTCCAGTATTTATTTATTTCTTTATTTCATTTTTTTTTTAAACTTTTGTTTTGTTTGTTTGTTTGTTTGTTTGAGTTTGTTTCCTTGTTGAGTTCTTTGTTTTATTACTTAAGTTTTCAGTCCCTCCCTTCCACTAAACTGCCTGTCATGTGCGTGTGTAGCATGGTCTCTGTCTTGGCCGTTAGCTTCTCTTTGTCTGTCAATTTTTAGTTTATTTTATTTTTTGGAAGTTATCCAGCAGAAAATTATAACTTGGTTTGAAACACTTGTTGTATCTACTGCTGTGTGCTTTCAGTTATAATTTGGAAATTTGAGACCCTCCCATATTTATTTTATTCCTTCCTTTGGGGCAGTTTGGATACCAATGTTTTGCCTTGTTGGAAATGTATCTTCGATCCTTTCATGCACCTTTTACACTAGCATGGTGCACCTTTCTTAGGAATGCTGCTGTCTCGTGGAACTACTGTAGCTAGTCAATGTCTCATAAATTAAAAAACGCTGCCAGCTGAAGTGGCATGAAAGTAAAAAAAAAAGATAAATAGTATTTAGAATAATTTTGTCCTTATTTTGAATCTACATTATAACAACTTAAGGTTGTATATTTATAGACCCATGTCAACACGAGTTCCTGCAGACTGAGATGTGTTTGGGAATGGGTACTTTTGTTTGGCTTGGTTTGGTTTATGTGTCTTGTGCTAGTATTGTTGTACCTTATTTTGTGCCTTGTGAATGACTCCTCAATCATGATATCCCTCCCGTAAAATTTATGCATGGTTTTCAAAGGCCCCTGTGTGGAAATCGTAAGTACAGTTTTCTCCCTTTTCTGACGTTACCCTTTCTTTACTGTTGTGCCCAGTCACGGTGATTGGTATTGAAGATGACCGCCGACAGCTAGTTTTCATACAACCAGGGGCAGAGGTGGGTCGACCGTTATGACTTCCCAAGTTCTCACCTGCACTGGCACACAATTAGCGAGAAGGGCAGACTAGCTGTCCCTCAGTCAACTAGGAATATTACACAACTAAATTTGGCAAGGAAAGAGAGACAGTTTTACTAAACCACATGCTTTTTCTTTTTTCTGTGTCAGTGGTCATTAAAATTTTGACCATGAAAAATTTGTTACATTTTTATGTACTTTTAAGGTAGGGCAGGATTTACTGCTAAGAATATTTGATAGCCCTGTCACTATAGGTGCTCTTTTAAATGCTTATCTATGTGTTGGTTCATTCTGGGCACTTTCCACCATGGATGCTGATTGAAGGTATGTGTATATTCCTGAATCTCTATCAAAGCTACCAGTCCAAGTGAGTAGATCTGTTATGGCTGCAGGGAAGTTTATTGCTCTTAGCATTTTGATGCTCTCTGTTTCGTGCTTTGCATCTTAACCAGCCGGAACAAAAAAATTACATTAAAAAGAATTGCATGTACAAATTTTTTCACATATGTTAAGGCTGATGTTAAAGTAAAGTCATGTTTCGTTCTAAAACATTTTGAAATATCAATGTTACCATTGGCTAGGATTTTTAATCCAAAGAAACCATACCAATCATTAGAAAGTCTTACACTGGAAATATTGGTTATGCAGATTCGAGAACGCAGTGCTCGAAGCGTGCCAATGAAGCAATCATCAACTGGACGGTCATCATTCTCTGCAGCGTCTGATTCTCTAAGTGACAATGAAGGCTCATTCTCACGCGGACCACCCACAAGAAAGTCATCAGCCCCGCTTAGAAGTTCACTTACGCCAGGTAATGTTTCTGAATTGTTGAAAACTCAATTCAATTAAAATAGTTGAATATTGTGTCTTGGATGAGTTCTCACTCCTCATACTTTTGGTGTGGTTCAGGTGGCAGCTTACCTGGTAGCAGAAACAACAGCAGGCCCCCCAGCAGACAAGGAAGCAAGCCGCCAAGCAGGCATGGCTCAAACCTGTCATTGGACAGCACTGGTATGTGGATTGACCGTGACAGGCCACATTTCGTTTTTAATACAGTTGTGCTAATTTTTGCTGATTTTTCACATGCTTTCTCCTTTTATCATTAGATGAAGGCACACCCAGCCGTATTCCAATGAGACGGGTCACTTCTTCAACACCATCCTCAGCACAACGGAAGTTGACTGTACCAATGAATGGAAGTGCTACTCGACCAAGGACTCCAACATCTGGCCTTACCAGTCCAGCAAGCGGCGCTGTGTCCAGGTATGGGCTTTGAATAGATTTGCTTGAGCATTTAATATATTAATAATTTTTTTGTTCTTAACTCTACTTAAAATCCAATCGTAGCTGATAACATAGTTAGAACAACATAATTATTACCCAGAAGAATACGAGCTTATTCCAATTACGTAGCAATCCTTTACAATGTCAAGTCAAGCCTAGCCTTAATAATAATTTTGTGGCCCAGCTATTAACTCACATGTATTGCAGAAACCTTGAACATCGATTTGCCTTAACATGTTACTGTAAAAAGTAAATTGCTTCTGACTAAATCCCTTTAACATCATCTGCAGGTTAGGGACCATACACCGTGCTTCGAGTATTCCCACTCTCACGGGTGTAGGATCAAGGTATGTGTCTAACTGAATAATCTCTTTTTAAGGTCGTTTGTAATGCCTAAAAATTAACTTTCTAAACCACCTTTTGTCTATCTCTGTCTTTATATATCTCTAGAAGAAACTTTATAAGGGTATGGGTTTTGAATAATATCTACCACAATAGACTTTAAGAGAAAAATATTATTTTTATTTTTTATTTTTTTTCAACAATGATTCAGTATTGGGGAAAACAACAACTTTGATACTTGGTTCTCTGGGTAATCCATCTTGAATTGATTTGGTTTGGTTTGGTTTTTCACAAATGCAGCGGCTCAAGGATACCAATCTATGTTGGAGCATCATTAGACACTCAGGATGAGCATCTTCCAGCCTCATCTTTCTCTTGTCCAACTTCAGGGTAAAGGAAATGCAGTGCTTGTAGTGTTGTTTCTCTGTTTGTTTTTCTTGGAGTGTTGAATGTCCATGCTTGGATTTTGCTATTTTAGTGGTGCATCTGGGAATCATGATATTCTCCTTAGATTGCAATATGTTTTAATGCTTTACGGGTTCATACAACATCTTTTAAAAAGAAGGAAAACAATCTGTATGCAATTAGGTAAAAAAAAAATATTTTTCTGGGGCATCTGGGTTTTGTGTACAACAAAACTGTGGGCATGCTGTTTCTTCTGGTGCTTGACTCTCTCCTCTTGTGTCTCCTTCTCCTTCTCTGGCTTGTGGTGACTGAGTTTGTCTTGTACGCATGCAGCCGGAGCTCCGGAAGGAGTTCAGTGCGAACAAATTCATCCTCTAATATTCCTGTACTTATGAAGGCATATTACTACTACAGGTAACTAGTAATCTAGATGATAAAGTAAAATTACACTTTGCTGCCTTTTGGCTTAATTTTCATTGCTTCAATTCATAAATCTCAGCACTTTTCATTTCATGTGGTTTGTCTGTTTTCTGACTTGAGCCTGGTTGTTCTCCATGTTTATGTTTGCAGTGGCTCTAAACAAATTATAGCATCTTTGTTAGAACATAAAATAACATTTTCTTAATTTTCAGGGCCAGAACGCCATCTGGCTCGAGCACTCCAGCCCCACCTGGTTTGGGGACGAAGTTGACTCGAAGGGCATCTGGCGCTTCAGACACCTCAACTGGAGCTCGGAAAGGAAAAACATCACCTGCACCTTTCCACCTCTGAATGCGATGGTCTTAAAAACTACAAGAGAGACCTTGCTCAAACCATGAGTTGAATGGCAACCAGCAAGACTGAATGAAAAGTTGCCCTCAGGAACATTCTTCAAAGTAAAGGGGTGATTTGTTAACCATGGTTAAAATATTTGTGTAAAACTGATTCAATTGGAAAGTGGTAGCTTCTTTATTGTAATCAAGCTGTACCAAACAGTAGAATCCGTTCATTCACATGGTTTCAGATGTACCCAGACCCCCCCAATAATCAACAAATCTTTCCATGAACTTTTTGTATTATTATTTCATAATGGTTATGAAGTACTGTCATTGATTGTTCTTATTGTTTCTTTTAAATGTCATGAAGGGACCATGATTAATTACTTAAAACAGTATTTGGCTGTGTTGCATGTTTGTTTTTGCTGTCATCATGAAACTGTGTCCTGCTTTTGTATGTCTTGTGTCGTTTTGTATCTAAGTATTCTGTGGAAACATAACTGTGATCATGTTCTCAATTGTTTCCTTCTTTGCCCCTTTTATTACCCACACATCTGTTGATTTTACTAGAAATATGTAAACCATTTTGAAATTTTTGATTGGTTTTGTTAAATTGTGTGGAGTTTTTTTTATTACTGTGTCTTTTTTTTGTAATTTTTTTAACATAAATTTGGTGCTTATGACAGCACACCTCAACAAACGAAGCTGTTATTGGAAAACAGCATGAGCATGAAATTGTTATGCACATAGCTACCATATTTATTTATAATAAGTGAGATTTAAATGAATGTTAATGTAATTAACTGAATCTTATAACTGGAGTAACAAGAGCTGTGCTCTGCTTGTGACTCATGAGAGGTTGGGACTAATTTTTTTTTTCAAGAGTAACCACTCTTCAATCATGACTATGAAATTGCCTTCACAATTTTTTTTTTAAGTGTTAGGTTCAAGTGCCATCCTTATTTGGGATGTTGATGGCTTCAGTAAAATACTTTTGACGAACTATTCTCTAGGTAATAAAAGATTTTTCTTATCTTTTCTTAGCTATAAGGTGTCATGGTATTTCCTTACATCAAAAGGTCTCATTTTGATTAGTCACGCTCTTAAATTATCTGATTATACTCCTACTTAAATTATTTGATTGTTTTTGTTATTAACATTGTATTAATATTTCATAAATCAAACAAGAACTGAGTCAATTGATTGATAAGCCATATATGTTGTAAATATCGTTATTTTCCTCCCATTGGAGGAAATGGAAACGTCCAGTGAAAGAAGTAAGATTTATTTTCTGTACAAAAACTTAAGTAATAGACTTTCTGTGTTGTAGAAATCAATTTCTAGGTACACCTCAGTGGTATCCATGCCACTGTGTGCACTTAGTTGCATTGTAAAATTGCTTCCTGTCCTGTTTTTTTTTTTTTTTTGTAGTTTTCTTTTCTGTTGTAATCTTGAAAATTTTGTACAGTATTATGTTGTAAACATTGTTTATTCAGAAAGTATCTTGCCTGCATATATTTTTGAATCTGAGTTATCAATGAACGAAATGGTTTTGTCAGTCAGTCATTGTACATTTTTCTGATAGTAATTTTTGTATAAACTTAGATTGTAGTAATGCATTAAAGCATGCATGTCTTTAAAATGTTCAAAGCAAGTATGCTCACAATCATTGTAATTAATAAAGAGAAATTACCTGTAATTTAATTGTGCTGTGTAAGTCTAGTTAACAAATTCGCTTATTAAAAATGTCTCACAATTATGCCTTGCACATTTACTTCCCATTCTCTGCCAGTCAATCAAGGAATCAATTACATAAAATGGATCTAAGAAACAGAAAATAGGTGCCCAAACATTCTATCCGGTGGAAAAGTAACTTTTCCTGTGAGCTCTGGCCCTGTGAGGACGGGGTGAAGCAGGGGAGGGCCAGACTCGGTATAAGCTCGCAGTGATGAGCAGTCTAAAAGACTGCTTTCATTGGGAACTTGTTACCGTGTGGCATATGACCCCGGCCGCCGAGGTAAAGGTTCCTGCTCTTTGTACGGACGGTATGTCATGTTGTGCAATGCAAGCATGGCAGTTACCGGTATAGGATCAGTTGTGGTCTAGCCTCTCAAGTTCAAGTGCTCTAGCGCGCCTGAGAGGTAGGCCATGCGGGCAGTGCGCTCTTGTGCGGGATGGGTTGCCTACGCACAAGGCGCTTCGTTGACGCGCCAAATGGGTGGTCTCCCTTCACGGCGCCCAACGGGGATGAAAATCGAAAAGGAAATTACAGTGTGTGCGAACTCTTTCTGTTTTTAAGACACACACAATCTACACTCACGCAGCCACTGAGACGCAACCCATACTCAGCAAGATTTCGTCCATTCCAGACAAATTTTAGAGAGAGATGGTCGACCTTTTCTTTTTGTGAAAAAGGGCGTTGTTTGTTTACCTTAGTAGACCAAAAGTTTTGAGTGGCGCAAACTGAGGAACGTTGTGCTAGGTCACTTTCCAGTCTCTCCAGTTACCATTTGGAGGCCCATTTCAGCCTTTCGCAGCCGCCCTTTGGGCAGAAACGGCACGGCACGAGTTCGACTCCCGCCGACTGCCGATTTCAGTCTGAGTCGGCGTCTTTGCCTCGGCGGCACCTTGAATGGGATGGATAGGATTGAGCAGTAATAACCTTACACAAACACACACGTCACGGCCATGCCGTGGCCACGCCGCATCCATGGGGCCGATGTTGGTTTTGTTGTTTCCTGATGATGTATGTGGGCCTTCATCGCGCAGTGGGGGCCGGGCCTGCCGGGCCCCCGCCGGCCCTGCACTTGGCGTGCGCGCGCGCCTGTGCGTGTGTGTGGCTGTGCGTGTGTGTGCGTGTGTGTGTGTGGCTGTGCGTGTGTGTTCGTGCACCTTTGTTGGCCGCTGCGATAGGCGACTCATGCTACGGTAAAAAGAGGAGCGCCTCGTGAAAAATGAATCAAGAAGGTAAACAGATAATGCGTAAACTGATACATCGGGCAGCGAGGCAGCAGCGAGCGGCACAAGGATGAGACCGCCCGGAGCAGCGCAGCACAGCGCAGCACAGCGCAGCACAGCGCAGCAGCAGACTGATGCCGAGAGTCGTTTTCGTCGCACTGCCTCTCTCGCACCTGTACGAGACGCCCCATGAGTGCGAGGGAGACAGAGCGACGGAAACGACTCCTCTTAGTCTGCAGCGCCACCGCCCCAGCGATACTTCGCCGCCGGAGTCCGGAGCGCGTTGTGGAGTGTAGAGTGTACGCAGTGTACGCGCAGTCCGCGGTCAGAGCCACCGCTGGGTACCGCAGGGCTGGCGGGCAGCGCCCCCGCCCCGCCGTGGAGTATGCGCGCGGCCGCGCGGTCGTGAACCGTTTTCGGCGAAAAAAGCAGCGCATACTCGAGTCCGGCAGTTTTAATTGGCGGAGGCTGTAGGCTGCGGAACGCGAGTGCTACGCCACTGCTGCGACTGCTGCCACTGCACAGTGGATTTGCCAGAAGACCGGCGCAGGCGGCCGAAACTCTAGACGCGTTTTGAGCCCCACACTGCAAAGCCGGTGGTAAGTTTACTTGCCACAAATTTGGCAAGCCGTTTTGAATGCCAAAAATTGGCAAGCTTCGCCTGAAAATACTCCCCAGCTTGCCAAAATTTGGCAAGCTTGTGAATATTTCCGACCAAAGCTTGCCAAATTTTGGCATTCGAAACGGCTTGCCAAATTTGTGGCAAGTAAACTTACCACTGGCTTTGCAGTGCAGAGACGCTAAAGAAGACTCGAACTGAACGTGTGATCCCACCAATGGATTGCTCTCCAAACGAGGAATCCATTGGTGGGGTCACACGTTCGGTTCGAGTCCCATTAGCGATTCTGGAGCTCAAAACGCGTCCGGGATTTTGACCGCCTATACAACACCACTGCTCGCCTTTGCTACGCCACTGCTTAGCTTATTCGTGCTTCTGCCACACCGCTGGCCGCCACTGCTCCGCCCTTGTCCGCGGCTGGCTGCTGGGCTGGCTGCTGGGCTGGCTGCTGCGGCTCGCGGTGGGCATGCCAGCCATGCCAGGCAGGCCGGTGGGGCCGAAGGCAGCGAAGGCAGCGAAGGCAGGCCGAAGGGCAAAAAAGCAAACAAGGCGGTGGCCTCTAGCCGTGTGTGGTCCCTTGGTGGTCCCGGAGCCGGCCTGCCCGCCTGCCTGGCCCCGCCCAGGGCCCCGCCCCAGGGCTCCGGGCTCCCACAGCGGGGCCCCGGTACGCCCCGGTACGCCCCCGCGGGGGACCCAAGGGGGGACCGGCCCGGGGGTACCCGGGGGCAAGAAGGGCCCCGACGGCGTGGACGGCCCGCGCGGCGTGGACCAGCACGGCGTAGCACGGCGTGCTGGAGAATGCGGCTTGCCGGCGGTGAGCCTGGTGGGCCGGGCCACGGCCGCCACGGCCGCCACGGCCATCTACAGCAGGCCGATGCACTCCCATCCCCGCCCCGCCCCGCCCCTCTCGCCTCCTCCAGCCTCCAGCAGCGCGGTGATGTCGAGACGCCAAGCAGTCTGCTGCTCGGCCCGCCCCGCCCCGCCCCGCCCCGCCCCGCCCTGCGTGCCGCTCACTCAAGACAAGAGTAAAGGAAAACAAACGCAGAGGACGCGACGCGGCGACTCGCTGGAAAAATTCCTTCCAGCGGAACACCCACGGATTCCCCAAAGTGACTCGGCTTGCCCTGGAAAACGGATCGGCGCACTGCAACGCAGAGTGACGCAGAGTCGCAGGGCAGTCCAGGCAGGCTTCAGGCTTGCGCGGCTTGCCCGGCTTGCGGCTTACGGCCGCTCCCCCCTCCCATGTGCAGCGCCGTGCAGCGCGCGGTCCAGCAGTCCAGCGTCACCGCTCGGCGCAAACAAACTTCTTGGCGTGGAATGCCGAATCGCGTTCCAGCAAGTCATCTCCAGTCAAATCAGTGTGTGCATGATGGCTTGGCTTGGCCGCGCTTGGCCGCGCTTGGCGATGGCCGCCGTCGTCATACCCCCTCGAAAACAGAGTCCGGGACTGTACAGCGCGGTACAGCGCGGCACAGCGAGCACGCGGGAAGAAAGATGGCGAGTCAGGGACGGGCCATAAAGAAGGTCGTTTTTTACGGACCCTCTTTCACATTCACATTCCGCGTAACCTAACCTCGATCTTCATTGGCGTGCCCAAACTTTCCCTTTTTCGACGTCGTTTCCCAGCGGCCCCTGACGGTCCTGAAGGTACTCCGGCGTACTCGCTCTACGATGGACAGCGCGGACAGCCAGCACGCGGCGCGAGCAGAGCGCTCAGCAGCGTGGCCTTGTAGACTTTTCGTAAAGTACAGTCGCAAAGAACGCAAACTCGGCAACGGTCCAGAAGATTCTAGAGTGTCTAGAGAGTCGCCCTTCCGCGCTCGCCGCTCGCCTCCGTCTTTTGAGTGAAAACCAAGTCAACTGACCCTTTTTGGGGCCAAATAAGACTCTCCTCCTCCTCCGCTGTCTCTCGTTTCTTTTTCCCTCGCTTTTTCTTCACCGTGCAAGCGTATTGTCGGCGCAAATACCTCATTTCCTCAACACGGCCTTCGCCCACATCCTGCCGGGGCGCTGCAAAAAGACAAAAATAAAGCGCCAAACAAGAAGAAGCGGCGAAATAAAAACAACGGCTACTCAGTCACTGATTAAGGCGGCGGTAAGCTAATTCCCAGCAAAGTGAAGCGGCAGAGCGGGCAGAGCTCACCGCGCGGTTATTTTATTGGACCCAGCGCTGCCAACAGAAGCACAACAAATTTCGCCGGTCGGCGGACTCCTCAAAGAGTAGGCAACCCGACGCTCGTCGTGGGAACCTGCCACCTGTCCGTTCGGTCCGTTCGATTGGCAAAGCTGATGCCAGTCGCAGAGCGGTCGCAGTGTCTCGGCCATTTCTCGGGAAATATTGGAAAATAAACTGCAAGTGGGGCGACGCGGCTCGACGCGGCGACGCAGCCGGGCGTTCCGCGAGACGCAGTTAGCCGACGCCTTGCAGCTGGTCCGAGCCGCGGATCCTAGAAGTCTACTACTGCACACGCCTAGGCCTAGCGCGGCCTAGCGCGGCCTAGCGCGGCCTAGCGCGGCCTAGCCTAGCGGGGCGTCATAGGCTTCGCAGAGCTTTCCCGTTCCGGGAAAGCCTGTCTAGCCGTCTGGCTAGAACCGCCGCGCGCATATGGCACGTGGTTGGCTAGCACACTGGCGGGACCGGGCGGGCAGGCGACCCGACCCAGACACACTTGCTGTCGTTTTCACTGCGATTCGCGGATTCGCGACAAGTGACCCGTCACTACTCCGAAGGCCTCTCAGTGCGTGGAGTATAGTCAGAAATAGCAGTTTGTTTTCGTGACTGTACACAGTTTGAAACAGAAGTCGATTTCAGGCCTATTAATAAAACTGACACGCTTCGTGGCTTTGCACTCAAACTGCCACGTAACCCTGTCCAGGACCACAAGAATGACGTGGATCGAAATCTTGAGAACTTTATGAGAAATTGCGTGCGCTGTGGTCAAGCCTTGGTCAAGCCGGGGAGAAACTCGAGCTGATTTCATGGCCTCCGCCGTCCCGGCCGCTACGTCGCCCTGTCCCCCTTTCTGGGTACTCGATCTAACAGAGATATCTACGAAATAAGAAGATGAGACATGACTACGGCATGGTCATCGAACTCCGTGTGTCGGCACGGCCGGGCTTGGGAGCGTGCGCCTGGACGGCCTGGACCAGCCCAAGCGTGCGCGTGGGGCTCGGCTCGGCTC